TTCCTGAGGAGAAGAATCTGCCTAATAATTATGCACACCTTGATATAGGGTGTTGATCTCCTTAGGCCACACCTTCCCTCGTTACACAAATACACATCACCTGATATGCATAAAATCCAATAAGCATTCAAGTTTATACAGCTTGGAGTTGGAAATTATGGATAAAATTATGATATGGTCAAAATAATCACTTGCCTAATAATTGTGCACACAGTGTACATATGGCAACATGAAAGTCCTGAATAGGGATAAACAGACTAAAGCGATTTTAAACTACGATCTTTAAATCTAGATGACTGCTGCTCTATAAATGTGTGGGATAAGCCTGAATGTCTTACACTTCAAAGCATGTTCTTGTGGGCCTAATTATGAAACAAGAGCAGACAGTTTTATTTAGTGTAAACTGAAACAGATGAGAAACCACATCACGTCGGGTTTGACACTTCTACTCACACAGATGAGACAGTTTTGTCTGTACAGAGAAACGCGTCATCACTATAAATGCTTCATCAGTTGATGTTTGAAACCCCAAAGCCAGCAACCTTCTTGAGCCTTTAATCACCAATATGTGAGGCTGAACCCTCTGGTTGTGACATTTATGTGCGAATAATTGCAGAAAATGTGCAATAGTTTGTTCACATTTTATTCACAGAAATATAAAGTAGTATGTCAAGTACATCACTTTGTACAAAATTGCACAGACTCTTCAAAACTCAGTCAGACAACAGAAAATTCAGCTTTAAGTGTGTTAAGAAAATAAAAGGGCGACATGAGTAATCTGTGATATGTGACGTGGGTTTCTTGCAAAAAACCATTTCCACTGTGGATGTTTCATCAAGAAGAATCAATCAGTTGTACATAAATAAGACTCGATGGGAAAAATGTAATTTACAGGCTGAGGAATAAATATGTTTCAAAAATAGGATTCAAATTGGCACATGAACTGCTCCGTCCGCTCCACGACTCAAATCACCTCTGAGGCTAAATGGCCATGCTCGAAAAGACAGGCGGCGACTCTTGATATGTTGAATCCAACTGAACAAAAGCGTTGCATGTGCTTCAGATATTACATGCAGCTGCTTGCTTGTCCGTTTGCAATACTTTCAAATGCTTCTGCTTTTATGTTTTCAGGTGTGTCTGACATATTTTCCAACAAAAGTTGCTGGAAAGTGCGTTTATTCTGCTGCCCTGCGGAGAGAGGATGAGAAAATTGATGACTGTGGATATGAATGTATCATTAGCAACCAGATAATTTAGCTTAAAGCACTAAAAACAAGGATAATCTGGCTTTGTTTCCGGTAACAAAATATGCAAACCAGCATCCCTATGGCTCTCTACGGACAGTTAGTCAACAAATTCTGTCTTGTTTAAACTGTCTTCAGCTGAGTGACTGGTCTCATCTTTGACTCAGCACTGAAATCTGACAGACTCTGTGGTTGAAGGGTGCTACTCTCAACTGAGGACCACTGCCAAATTGAAATCCATCTGAAGACTGTGACCACTGCATTAATCTCCCAAGGCTGGATTACTGTAACTCACTGTAGCTCAGTATCGACTGGTTTTCACTGTTTCGTCTGCTGCAAGACTCCTGACTGGTACCAAAAAAAATGCAGAGTCCTGTACTTGCATCTCTGCACTACATCATTTATAGAGACAGAACTGCTTTTAAGGTTATTTTTCTTGTTTATAAAGCCATGCATATTGGCATCTGGGTACCTCTACCTCTTAGCTCCTCAGAACAACTGATTTTAACAGTTCCATGTTTGAGGCTGGTGGATACAGAAGATCTTTGCAGTAGCAGCAAAGCTTTAGAACAGCTTTCCTCTCTCAATCAAATCTTCCTCCTCCATTGACATTTTTAAGAAAACTCTCAAATATGTTTTCCATAAACTTAATTAGATTTTGATTTATTTACTCCATACAAAAACCCAAAGTGTAAACAGGTGTTTCACCGTATTTTTTGGAGTTGGGAGTCTCCTCTTGTTGCCTGGCAACTGGTTCCGACCAAAACGAAATAGTCAAACAAAACTGACACTTTGGATTTTGGGCACATTAAACAAACATGACAAGCGCTCATTAATGAGCTTCAGACGTACTGCAAGACGGGTTTTGTTATGTTTGGACAAACCAGGCTTGCGGTTATCCTGTTTCCAGTCCTTGTGCTAAGCTAAGCTAGCTGCCTGCTGCTTCACACATTACAGACATGAGAGTTGTACCGAGGTGTTAACACTTAGGAGGGAAGCCAATTAGCACATTTCCCAAAATATCATACTTTTGCTTTATGAGGATTTTCTAACTGATATTTAGGCATAAATACCTACATTAAAAAAGTGGAGTAAAAATCACATTGTCTTTTAAAATATTAGCCTCAACAGCTCAGCACTGTGTCAGCCTAAAGTAAAGCAGTAATGTCACATCTTTCCATTCAAGCATGGCCACCTAGTACCCTTTGTTTTACTAACTGTACCGTTCCACCCACAATTCACCTGCAGGCTGCACAAACAGTACACAATACTGCCACCATTCAAAAACAAAACATGTCCCAAGTCCCTCCGATAAATGCTGGATTTGGTATAATAATATCTTCAAGGCATTACTTTAAAGTGATCTATATTAACAGCATATCTAATCTACAGGTTATCCATATGATGAGTTTGAATACAGAACCATCACCAGACGGAGGGACTCCGAAAACCATGTTTTAGAAACACTACTGTAGCACACCGATCATTGAAAAATATTTGGACTCTAATACACCACCACACACTCATAGAAATAACCCAGTAGGACATCAAAATGGGAGCCACCCTGTCCTGATCATACAGGCTGAACCTGGATTGGTTTTTCTTCCATTTTAACAGTTTTAAACTGATTTGTAACACAACGTATGACCACCTGTGTGTGTTTGTGTGTGTTGCAGCCATCAACAAAACTATGAGAAGAGAACCACTTCAGTGTGCAGAGATATGTATGTTCAATATGTCTTAAGCAGAAACTGACAGTAAATTAATCTCCTGTTTAATTTCTGGGCTGTTGTGATGATGTGTGATGACAGCGTCATCCTCCTTGTTGCTATGGACAACAGTCCGTTCAAGTCCAAGGTAATCGTCAGGCACTAAGACCCTTTAGGCTGTACATGTTTAAGAAAAACACCTCTGAGCTAACACTAACACACCCATGATTGCTGTACTGATGTTAGTGTAGACCAAAGACCCAGAGCAGGACTTTGTAGGGAAAAACCCGCAGGGACAGTGAGGATATCCGGGACAGACTCAAAGCAGCTTTACAAACATTAACGAGATGCTCTCGGGAGCTCGGAGGAGCTCAGAAGGGAGGGACTGTTTCTTGAGGGTCATTCCAACCTCTCAGTCCTCCAGCAGGGTGGTGACACAGGCTCTGCTCCCAGGGAACTGTGGGTAAGGGTGAATGGGAAGTGGTCAAAAGAGGTGAATCAAAGCCATATGACTCCACTGGATCACTTCCTCGCGCTTTCTCCTCCTACACTGATGTTCAATGCTGCATTTTCTACATCTTATCCTCTCACTTTCTACTTGTAGCCATGTGCGTCGCTGTTTATGCACATCTTTGACGACTGAGTTTGAAACAAAGCCACGTAGGCTGAGTGATTTTATCAGCATGGACTCACTGCTCGGCATCATCTCAACCCCGTTCTCAAATCTGAGAAACAGGAAACAAAAACAAACAAACAAAATGATGGGTGATCCAGTGATCTGGACCGTTTTCACCATCAGCAGAGCGCCCCATGTCACTTCCAACTTTCTGCATCTCATCCAGTCAGCAGATACATGACCGAACCCTGCCTGGTGTGGTTTAGTAGAAAGAGTACTGGTTCTCCACAGCTCTGGCCCGGCGAGTCCCATCAGCATCGTGGTAGTCCTCAGAGGCTCCACTAGAGGCCTCCAGCAGGCGTTCAGAGCTATTGCTCCGGCTCTGTAACCCTCCTCCTACTCCTCCTCCGGTACCTGGGTCACTGCGGGAGAGGGAGGGAAGGGCGGTGGGTGAGGAGGAGGTGCTTGAAGAAAGTGGGGCATCAGAAGGAGGCCCCGCAGGCACCGCGATTCCAGGAGGGTGAAGAGCTGGCGGAGCCGAATCCGTCCGGCAGCCTGCATCCCTGGGTGGAGTGAGGACTGGAGGCGCGGCCACATCTGCAGCAGATTGTGGGAAGAAGAAAGGCATCCTTTTAATAGAAGACACATTAATAATACAGATTAATCCGTGCTGCTGATAGTTGTTTATTGGTTTACGCTGAAGAGTTGCGAGTAAAAGGCTCCTTCACAGAGCAGCATGTAAACACAGACAGTGTGGGCCTCCTTTATTATCCTTTCTCTTGGTGGGCAATAACACCGACAACACTGGTGCCAAAGACACGCCTGACCAGTGTATCAATAAAGCCTTTTACACCCTGAATCAAACCCTCACTCTATGTGCATGTGAGTGAGTGCATGAATGTGTGTAGGTCCAGCCTTCGGGGAAACAGAGGGCCTCTTTGTGACCACCGGGGTGGGTTGGAGCTGGAGTCTCGGCCTGCATGCAAAACTCCTGCGGTATAATCGCCCCCTCACTCTCCTGTACAGGAGGGCATTTATCCCATGCCAGGAGAGTGGAGGGCAGGAGCAGTGTTAGTGTGGACGGGGGTGTGGGGGAGAGGGTGGGGGTCAGGGAGTTTTAGCTCTGCTTCCTCTGTCTATGAGGCCAAACCTTTGCGACCTGTCAACATATTTAAGTTTCTAATTGGCTGCCATAGTGCTTTGGATTTGGTGATCCAAAGAGTAACTTTCAAGTTGAGACTCTTCGTTCTTAGAAACGTATTTGGAGCTCTGTAAGTTAAAAAAAAAAAGCTTGGACAATTTGGACAACTTGGAAATTTTACCCTTCTTTTATTTTCACCTCTGAACCCCCAAAAACCTGCCAGCAGGTTTGAAAAGTAAAGTAATCTTTAAAAAATGCCACCATTACAACATTTATCAGAGCCAGAAACTGTAAAAAACAGAGAGCAACATCAGATTTTTAACTTTCCAATGGTCCTCGAGCTAATAATGTGTGTCACTGTTTGGTCAGAAAGCAAATCTAAGCTTTAAAATGTGATAATCAAAATCATTTATTCTACAGTTGTCATTTTAAAAAAATCACCAAAAACAAACTGTTTGCTCCAACAAGAAAAACAAAAAAAATTCTACATTTCTCATCACAACCATACAGTGACTGTTTCTATAGAGATGCAGATTGCAGTGAAAAATGAGCCCAAAGTGAGGAAACATGTGACTGAAGCAGAAAGTTGAGCAAATGAAAAGGCACCACTGAGGAAATTACAAAATCACACATCCATTCACTAGCTGTATCCACTTTATCCTACAGAGGGTCACGAGAGGCCAGAGCATATCCCAGCTGACACTGGAAGGGTAAACTCTGGGCAGGTCGCCGGTCCACCACTAACTCAAAGAGACAAGCAGCCATGCATGCTCACACTCAATTCTACGGCCAATTTAGACACACCAATTAACCTAACATGTGTGTGTTTGGAGTGTGGGAGGAGGCTGGAGCAGACACAGGAACAACATGCAAATTACAGCAGGTTGTAAGGCAACAGTGTTGACCCCTGTTTGTTGTCAGATCTCAAGATCATTGTAAATGTTACAATAGACGGGTTAAATCAGCAGTTACATCTGATCTACGAGCAGTGTGTGCAGTACCTGTGGTGGAGCTTCGCTGCACTTGTACGTAGGAGCGTAGCGTGATGTCAGCTGAGCCTCCAGATTCGAGGGGGATCGGATGGGCGTGGAAGTGTCTCAACATGTCTGATACGGTGTGGAACCACAAGTGGTGGACGTGGCACTGCCCGTTCTCGTTGACTGACAAGCGCAAATGCTGCGAGGAGGAAAAAAGGAGAAACAGAATGAGGTGGAGAAAAGTTTGCAATTCAAAGATGTGACAGAGAGAGAGAGACAGTAAATGAGAAAGAAAATGAAACATGGAAAGAGAAAACACAGAAAGACAGAATTGCCATGTGAGACGCAGTGAACATCTGAAACAAACAGAACAAGACAGAGGTCAGGACATTATCTCAGAGGCATCTTTCTGTGGAAGGAGAGCGACAGAATGCCAAGAGGACACCAGAGGAAGAGGCGGCAGCTGACACTTCCTCAACACTGCCGGCTGGCAGGATGTGATGTGCAGGAATCATGTTACATCAGGGAACACAAAACGTTGACATTACTGCAGCTTTTTAAGGGCCTGAACAACTTGGTCTGCAGTGGCTGCAGCACCAAATGTCAAGAGAAAAAGGCTGAGTTTATTTACAAGTGAATTCATTGTTTAAAGTCAATCAATGACCAGTTCATAAATGCATTAACTTTCTGAACCCCAAAACCCACCAGCAGGTTTGAATAGCATGTTATCTTTTTAAAAAATCACTAAAAAGGCACCATACATCAGTGCCAGAAACTCTCAAACCAGAAACAATGATCAGTTTTCTAAGTTTCCAATGTTCCTGAGCTACTCATCTTAACCACATCTAAGCCTAAGCAGTGACCTTTCATCAAAATCACTTTACTCTGCATGTCATATTTAAAAATTCACCAAAAACTTAATGTTTGCTTGAACTAAATTCTGCAAAAAAAGAAAGAAAAATGATGTGCCCCTTAGCACAACTGTGAAGACATTAGTGACTTTGCTGAGGTCAATAGTCACATGACAAAAACTTTGACTTTTCAGCTTCACTGGGCTGAACTGCAGCTTGTGCTTTCATGAGACAAGTATGGAAACAATTTTAAAATGTAATTTCTAAAATATGTACTAGTGTGCAGGGACACTAAAAATAAATATCATGGTTCCAGCAATTTTCTATTCAACATCCCTGTAAATTTAACACATTTGTTTTGAACTGTGAGTCAGACAAAATAAGCAAACTGAAAAGAGAAATAATTCAGAGTGTGTCGGACTCAATCACATAACACTGCCTCTCATCTCACCTTGGCTTTGCCCTGGAAGTTGAAGGTGAGGACGTACTCTCCTGGCCGTGTCTCACTCTGACGAATCACAAAGAGCCCGTGACTCCTGGCTCCGCCTGCAAGCACCAGCTGAGCCGCCCGCACACGGGACAGCGTACCATGGAACCATGGGTAGCCCACCAAGCTGGCATCTCCATCTGATTCTTTCGCTCCTTCACCACCACCTGAGCAGCGCCACACACAAATGTTTCATTTTTTTCCCATCTGTAATCGTCATCTTGTTTATTTTCATGTTCATGAATCCTCACCTGCTTGGATTTTCCAGAGGTGGAAAAGCAAATGCTATTACCTGCAGAAGAGTTGGAGCCCTGGGCCTCTGGGGACTGGAGGAAGCGCTCTAAAGGCATGTGGGACGGGTGCTGGGTAAAAGGAGGTTCCCTGCAACGGACTGAGGGGGCGCTGTAATGCTCTGCTGCTGTAGGACACGACCTCTCTGGAGCACGATACACTCCTAAACATGTTTTTATAAATGAACACATTTATCAGGGTCAAAACATGTAAACATTATGTAACGTGGCGCGAGAGTAGAGTCGAGTCTTTGCTCACCCTCAGACAGCAGCTCGCAGCTGCAAGAGGCCACCATGGAGCAGTCTTTGGAGGCCTGGCCATGAGGACATGACGCCAGCTCGATGTCATCGCCGCTATCACTGTACACAAGCAGGCAGGTCAGGAGAACCGCAAGAACATATACACATGTGCAAACAAACATCACTGAGTCCCAACACACAACTCTACACACGTCCACATCCTACAAACACAAATAATCTCTCTGTTTATGTCCTGAGCTGCACCGAGAATCGTCCCCTACTCCAGGAAACTGAGGAGGAATGTCAGCGGTGTGAGCTCGCCCATGTTTGTGCTTCAAGCAGCCTGTCAAAAACTCCACTAATTGAATGATTAATGACTGTGTGTGTTTCCCCTCCTCCTCATCTACTCTCCATCCCGCGGTCCCTCTCTTCTCTCCATCTTCAGTCAACAGCAAATATTTATCTGGTGGTTTACCCGGGGTCTATGCAGTCCTGGATGTCAGCAACCCACGAGTTTTTCTGTAGGGAGTCAATGGTTTCCAGGATGTATTCTCCCCCGTTTTCCACCTGTGGAGGCAGCCAGACACTGCAGTCACACACTGAGCTCTGTTCGGTGGGTCACATCAGGGTAAATAGCAGGGAAAATTCAATGTTAACTCAGCAAAGGCATGAACTTCCTCATTTTCCAATAACCTGGTTTCAAACTCTGTTTTCCATGTAGGTTTATTGTGTTTTTAATCCTGTCCAGCATTTCTACTATTGCAGGTGCAGATGTGTAAAAGTGGTGCAGATCCTACCTTCAGAACAAAGGTGTTGTCCTTGTCAGGCATCTCCAGAGGCATGGTGGTCCTCACCTCCACGATGGCTGACAGAGGGATGCTCACTTTGGGTTTTGAGGACTAGAACCAAACACACAAACAAACACTCGTGAAACAAATTAAGCATTACTACACATACTTAAGAGCTTAACACATTCACGGCTGTTTGGACTTAAGATCAGGATTCCATCCATTGTCTTTTGCATGTATGGACTCAGGTTGCAGTCGCAGCAGGCTAAGCAGGTCATTCCAGATGTCCCTCTGTGCAGCAATGTTTTCCATCTCCTCCTGGGGGATCCCAATGTGTTCCCAGGCCTGATGAGATATCTAATCCCTCCAGTTAGTTAAAATAAATACAACTTTAATAATCCCAGAGGAAAATCTTGAAAGCATCTTTTGAAGAGGATTTGTACCCACACATGAACAAAAGCCCTACCCACCTCAGTTGGCACCTTTTGACAAGAAGTAGCATTTACTCTACTCCAAATGTCTAAGCTCCTCACCCTGTCCCTAAGGCTGAGTCCAGCCATCCAACGGAGGAAACCCATTTGTATCCATGAACTCCTCCCTTCAGTCATTACCCACAGTTTATGACCATTAGAAAAGGCTGAAAAGTAGATCTAGATAGATAGATAGTAGATCTACTGCTAAAGCATCTCAGGTCAGGATTCCCAGATGCAAATCATTGCACTTGATTCCCAACAGGTCAGTCAAATCAGAACTGAAGATGCCTCTTGGATGAAAGGTGAAACGTCTTCAAGAAACAAAAAAGAGAAGTCCAGTTTCTTTTTTACAGAAGCTCTTAGGATTCCCATGACCAGGATGACTCAGAATCTACACAAACACACGTCAGTCAGGACTCTCACAATGACCAGATTACTGCCGGTGTAGGAAACAAAACTAAGAAAATGCTGCTGCACCACTTTATGTTTTATTTCTCTCTAATATGTGCTTTTTTCTTCCCGTGTGGTAAGAAAGGGAACAGTAGTGCTGCCCCATATTTTGTGTCAAAAGGCCGCTAAAAACAAATTAAACAATCTTAAAAGAGAACTTCCAGTATACTTAATATTTGTCAATCGCAGCCAAAAAAGTTCAGGAATTCCTGTTTTAGATGATATTAGACAATAAACATGAATATGTAGCCTGGAGCTTGTGGCTCACACTGGATTAAGAAACACATTTAATTTGGTAACAACATTTTTATAGTCATTTCTGCTCTAAAAAACAAATAATGCATCACTCCCTGTGTGGCAGTACAATTTTCTGCCAGTGTGCTATCACCAAAAACCAGAATAAGCAATTATGAACGGTCCAGGGTTAAATTACATCCTGTGTTACATCCTGTAGGAGGCAACTGCAACACTTTAAAAGTAGCAACTATATATTTTTCCACTAAAAAACCCTACATAGAGCTTTAAATTAGTGGTACAGGTTTAAATAGAACCACTTAACCCACTGTTTTTAGTGTGAAATGCACAAACCCTCAAAGTTCTCCATCACACATGATAATTTAGGGGCCGCATGCAGTCGAAATTATTGGTGCAGCCTCAGCAGCGACGCACTACGCCCCCAGATTAAATAACTCATTGAAATAAAATGAGGCCAGCATAAAAAGAGTAGGGAAGAGTTTACAAAAAGACTGCACGATCTGCAAAAAATATCTCCACGGCTCAGTTTTTACGCAGTCTCTTATTTCCCGCTGCATCTCAGCGATTATTCCTGCTGACTGACTAACAAACATGAAGCAGGAAGAGTTTACAAGAAGGTGGACACAGAAAACAGGCTGGCCTCAGTTTGCCCTCTGCAGAGAGTCGGATCCAGACGATAATCTTAACAGATCCGGCGAGTGTGTTTGAGGCAGTGAGCTGTGTGTGTTTGTGTGCATTTATTTCTGTGTGCGTCAGGAGAGGCAGAGCGAGAAGGAGGCTGACTGATAGTCTGGCAGAAGCTTATCAGTTGATCTGTCTGGAGTAACACTGTTCTCATCTTGATCCGCCTGTGCAGCTGGCTGCCGTCCACGCCCACAAGTCCTTTCTTTGGATCGGATGTCAAAAACCGCTTCCTGTATTAAACCATTCGACCATTTCCTGTACCTCTCTGCTCAGGACAACATGAGGCCAGTCTGTGTGGGCATTGTGTGTTCAACAACATAGTTGGTGAAAACTAGTGGTGTGTGCTCCGCCACACAGAGTGTCATCTGTGAGCAAAGAATAAAATTACACCTTCACATATTCATCTTTCTATCGGTTAGGTGGTGAAGTCTTCGTCTCTGATAGTATCGAACCACGCATATCATTTTTGTTTTTATTTGTTCATGTTCATTTGGAGTGTTAGCATATTGAATTTGTTACTAAACCGTCGCTTTGTAAGCAGAAACATTAACTTCAAGTATTGTCTATAATCACCTAATAAATATAAGTCTAATATTAACTCTCCTTTTAGCTCTGTCTTTGGTCTCCTCCACCTCTTGAGAAAAGTATCTGGGTCTGTAGCTGCTAAATGGAGCCCTGTGTCAAGGAAGAGTTGCAGGCTGCATCTGGAAATGACGCTGATGAAAGCAGTGAAGCTGAACAACATCAGTAAATTGTAGGAACATAAAAGAGTTAAAAGAAGCTGTGACGCTCCAAAGAGCAGAAGATAACCGCAGATTTAGGGAGGGGATAACTCTCTTCACATTGCACATATTGTTCAATCTGGTATTAGTTTAATAATGTTGATTGGTGCAATGATTTCTTGTTTCCTTCAACATGAGATGAAATCTCCACAGTGCATATCTCAAAGCCTCAGAAAATACAACAGAAACTATGAGCATGGTTAGATACCAACAGAGGGAAGTGAAAAAATATGTATTTTGCAATATGGGTGAATCTACCCTTTAACCCTTCAAACACCAAAAGTCTGTCTTAAG